CCTCCATATCTTTCAAGGAATTAATCATGTCACAAGAAGGAAATAATTTATCTGCATTAGAATCACATATGGGATATGTTCTGCAATGTGGATGCCAAAAGGGATGCAAAATTAGAACATAAATACAGAAGAAAAAAGTGGAATTAGGATGTGTTTGATCTTGTTTCAGTTTAAATTTGATATTGGACTCAGAATTAATTCCTCGATCCAGCACTAAACATGTGAGTATTAATCTAAAATCATATTTGCCGGTATTTCAACATGATTTTGGATGATTGGTCTGCACATAATGGGAAAAGAAATGCTTACTTTATCTGGTAGACAATAGCCATGATCAATAGGAATGAGCTTTATCTTGCCATCTGCTTCCTTTCTGATCAATATATTCCCACCATGCCTGTCTGCATTGGCCAATCTTATATCAAGCACAGTAATCTTATGCACTTCCTCCACTGGGAAAGCCCAGGGTCCGAAGTCCTCACAGTTACCATCATTACTAGTGAACTTCTGCAGTGATCCGATCTTAACATCTTTTGAGGAGCAAGAAAACCCATTTGGGTGGTTAAACTTTTTGTGTAGGCACTGCACCATAACAGTAGGGGGAACACCAGAAAAGCCTACTTCTTCACCTGATAACAGACGTGGCCCACTCTTTGGATGATCCAACAAGTATGCTGCAACTTCCCTCAAGGCTCCTTCACCAACCTTTGTCCCTATTTTCAAACCTTCGCCATTGGTTGAACTCGGAAGACCTCTTGGGTTGTTCACAGCCATCGGTTCCTCATCCATTGGCTTAAAAACAGAAACATACTCCTGACCTGTTGAATCTTGCATGAAGTAAGTCCCTCCAGTGCCCTCAGAGGACCTAATAGGGTCGTTTCCTCTCTTCAAACCTTCAAATGTGGAGTTTATCATATCCCAGAGGAAAGGAAAAAAATTGATCTTGGGATTCAGAATGATTGGTTCCAACCAAAAACATACGTCAGGTGGCACATTTGCTATGTGAACATGTTTGTCCCTATTATGTTTCACTACTTCACCTGGTGCCTTCACGGAGAGCTTCAAATCCTTCTGAATCGGGGTGGTCCTAATCTTGGCCGATTTCTTAATTATCAAATGAACCACATCGTCTTCACTCTTGCATATGTCATGGAAGACACTCTGATCATCGAGCTTCTCACCATTGCAGAAAAGCTCTTGATCATCCTCAAGATCAATGAAACCTTCCCCTTTTTTTCTAATGCGTTGTTTCAGATAACCCACATTTCGGTGTCTGTCGATGTGGAACTCATACTCCTCCCCAGAAACGGTCCTCACAACAATGAAAAGAAGATCAGAGAGTCGAAGAACCATGTGAAGAACATTGCCGTCAGCGACACCATACTCCTTGATAAGAGTACCACTCCGAGCTAGCTCTCTGCCACCGAAAACCAACTTCTGCTTTTTCACCACGAAGCCTTTGCACTGTTGAATCCTCAGTTTCACCGAAGCAATGGAATCAGACTCCAACACGCGCATTGGGGTCACAGCGCCATCCACAGTGAGGTAAATCAAGATTGGCTCACCAGAACAATGTCCCGGCTGCCCTTCCCATTGCCCCTTCTCTTCGCAAACTGAACTCAAAGCAAACTCAGCAATTGACATCTCTCAAAGTCAATCACTTTTTTTCCCTTTTTCTTGTCCCGGGTTCCCAATTTGCCTTACCTTATCTTACCCGTTTTCTGCTTTACTCCGAAATTATTATTTTGATGATACAACTCAATGGGACCCAAATAAACAAGACAGAGAACCTGTTTTTGAGGTGCCCAGAAGGGAATTTTGATTGTGCTGCGGGAATGGATGATGGAACTGGACGATGGAATGAAGAATAACGGTAAAAACAAAAACAAAAGCAATAACTCTCGAACAAATGGTGGAAGCGAAGCAAGCGAGAGGGGACTCTTACCAAGAGGAAAGAACCAAAGGAAAAAGTGAGAGAATGAAGAGCTTAAAAGGAAAGGATGGTCGCAGAGAGGGTGATGAATTGCGGAAGAATTGAGAAGAATAATGGGATTGTGGCATTTTCCGATATCGATGTACGTGGTGTGTTATGTGTTATCACCACACCACAACAGTGAGTGAGGGACCGAACTTCTTGGTCCGATAAACCAGTGACGTTGTAGAAGAAAGGAAGAGTGTGTGAGATAAACGGTATTGTAGCCGTTGCCTTTTTATACAGTTTTGACCCAGCCACTATAACGGTGACTTAACACCCTATTCTTCCTTGCTTTTATTTTCTTTTTAACCTACCTCTTGCCGTCAACCTTAACAGCAATCCGTTTCCTTATTTAACCAGGATTAATAGCTTAATGACCATCATTAGTGTGAATTCATGGAAATTAAGCGGTATTATTACTTTTTCTGTTTCAATTTTTTTTTAATTTAAGATTATTACTATGGGCAGTATTTAATTTGAGTCTTCTTCGTCTTAATGATACTGTACTACTTATTAATGAAAGTTAAATATGAAATTTAAATGTATTGGAAAATTATGTTAGATGTGCAATAATGAACATTGAAGATTTTCTATTTTGAATTCATTACGTGTTTACTTTTTAGTGGTTAATTTTACTAATTCAAAAAATAATATAATTTTTCAAGAAAAGGTCATGTTATTAATCAAATTAAATAACTTCCGTAATTTTTCTTAATTTGTTAAAGGAATTTTTAAATTCACAATAGCCATTAGTTGTTGCAAAAGAGTGATAAGACGGTATAATTGTTTAGTTACAAAACTATATTAAAGCGAGGAACAAAAAAACAAAGTTTAAACTTAGATAGCTCCCTTCAATGGGTAAACTTACTATGATAATAATTTAAAAGACATTAATTAAAAATTATTAAAATATTATATCAATAAAGAATATTATTTATTGTTATTTATTTTTTATATTATGATTGAAAAGAATAATTAACATCATAAAAGGAAGTGTTTATTTTTAAAAATATAATACTGTTTAAAAGACAATTTTAAAACAAAATTGATTTCCTTTTCTTTTAAATATATTTTACGATACTTTTTATGAAATTAATAAATTTATAACTACAGTATAATCGTGTAAATTCATGTATTGTTTATTAGTAAAAAGAAGATTGCATTGGTTTTTATATAATATGTTATAAGATGTTTAGTTTTTATATAATTGGTTTAATGTCTTAATAAATCTCTATTTTTATTTAGAATTTCAAATAGGTCCTTTTTTTTTATCTCAATTGAGTCCTTATTTTTATACAATTGAATCAAATAGGACCTTTCCGTCAAATTGAAATGACGCCATTGAACCTCCACTGCAGTGAAATGTCTTAACGGCGTCATTTCAATTTGACGGAAATATTATATTTGATTCAATTTTACAAAAATAAGAACTCAATTGAGATGCCAAAAAAGAAAGAGACCTATTTAAAATTCTAGGTGAAAATAGGGACCTATTGAGATATTAAACCTATATGTAATTTATATTAGAAGAAGTTATGAATAATGTTGTCGGAATCTTGAAGATTGCAATGCAATGAAGATTCAATGGTAGAGTACTATGAGGGGTTTGTCTTTTTCCTAGAATTAAAGTTGCAGTGCTTTAGCAAACACCTTCACATTCACAAAAGCAGTTGGCAAAAACATAGATACTTGTTTTATTTTGTCTCATGACCCTGAATTTCAGATTCACTCATTTTGTGTTGCTTTTTGCTCCCTAAAGATCCTTATTCACTGAACAAAACTTTCAACTTGTAAATAAAACTATAGGTTTAGCTTTTGTTATAAGCAAATTAATGTTATGAAATTCAGCTATGTCTATGGGAATGTGGGATTTGGTGTCCCATGACTTTGAGATCTACATTAGTACTAATAATGCACTGTAGTAATGAGAAAAGATGTTAATGAATTTTATTTGACCCAACATAATTCAACTTTTTATGTGTATTGATATATGTTTTCCAATGTCATGATTCTTCATCACATGCTCCTTGACCCAAATATGTTTCTCGTGTTAATTACTCTTCTTTTTTTTTTCTTTTTTTTTAATTTCAACCTAGTTAGAGCAAACTCTATATTCATATGATACATATCTTAGTTCTTTTTTTGGATTATGTGGTAAAAAGTAGTAATACCTATTATACAATACAATTTTGATATCTTAGAAACTTGACCATTCGAATAACTTTACACTATCATATATATTCTTATTTGAGATATTCACCACATGTGAGTATCTGAATTTTCTTTTAATGCACTTTACTAAAACAACTGATAATCATTTAATTACAGAAGTTCAATATAGAGTAATATAAATAAAATATAATCTACAAGTAAAAGTTAATTAATGCATATTTACTTATTCGTGTTATTTGCTTATTTTAGTGTATTTTCTTTATCAAATATATATAATTTAACTAATCAAATTTAACCGTAGAATCAATGCATATTTTGCACTTTTGGAAATGTTTTTACTGCATTCACAAATTATATTAACACATTTTTTTATTATTATAATGAAAAAGTCAACAGTAATACATGTGTTTTTTTACTTGTTTAGTATTAAAGGGTTATTTCAATAAATTTCCATTTGATTATAGAATCTGAGATTAAATTATGGATTAATTATATTTTTATTTTCTAAAACTCAGGGCATATCTGATTTTTATATTCAATTTTTTTTTAAAAAAAATAGTTTTAATATCTCACTTTAGAAAAATATAATTATAATTTTTTAAATTTATTGTTTGGAGACTTAAAAACGTTAAGTTTTATCTAAACTTAATTGGCATTAAGAAAAGTTATCTGACACATATATAAATAATGTTTTAGCAAGCAACATATTCCCAAAAAAAAACCTAAAATCATATTTTTCAAATTTTGGAGACTCAAATGAATTGTTTGTAAATTTGAAGGACCAGAAGTGAATTAACCTCAAATTTCATTAACTAAAAACATAAAAGATGTAACAAAGATTTTAAGACAAAATTTAAAATGAAAAATACTTGGAGAAGATTCAATTTGGACTTTCCTAAAAGCAAGAATCTTCTTACATGCATCAAATTTCTTCGTCCACCTCATCAAAAAGCTTCAGGAAGAATTTTTTTTCTTAATAAAAGGAGTGATTGTTTTCAGAAAAATATTTCCAGATTCCGGAGTGATATGGTGTTGGAAGAAATATGACAGGGTGCAGAAAGCAACAGCTAACATTGCATGACTAGGTGTTTTTGTCTACCAAAAATCGACAAAAGTGTCATTCCTTTTGGTTGGTTGATCGGGGAACCCATGTAGCTTGTAGCCCAGGCTGCAAGTACAGAACAACTTCTAAACTCACATTAGAAGACAGTGTGTTATATATGTATCTGCTTAGGGCAACATTTGAAAGAAATTGAGGCTTAAATTGCAAATAAGAGGAATAGTATATGTATTATTCAAAGATTATCTCTTTTAGTTGCGTAATATTGATGTTCACACTGTGGAGATTCTCCTTCTAAGGAGCTACTGCTGTTTTTCTCAGGGGAGGAGCTGCTTGTATAGTCTTCAATGCCTGATGTTTGTTTAAAGCTAGGAAACTGTGTATTAAGATCCCTGCAATGATAAGTAACTACTGTTTATAACTAATTTGGATAATCTCCAGGAACAGAAGGAAGTTCTGATGTTTTTCTAGAACAATTATAATATCATATTCATGACAACATCTTTTCAATAACCAAGCTTATTTTTAGCCTTGTAGTAGTAACAAAGGAAGTGGATGATAAAGAAGAACATTAAAAAAAAATCCTTTAGCTGCATGGTAGAATTGCTAGATTTTGTGATTATTACTTTAAAAAGTCATATTTAAGATTATTTTTAGTATGTTGACATTGTAAAAATATGTAAACAATAATAGTTTAAAATTAAGCTCAGAAAGTTCATGTAAATTATAGATTGTTTGATTTTAATACATTTTGAGCATATATATCTTTTACATTCCACTTATAATTAGAAGTTATAGTATGTATCTCATTTAATTTTAAAAAAATAATAATATTACAAATCTCAACATTTACTATTACTATTACTATGCATGACACTTTGACATTTCATGGTTAGATATTTGCATGCCATCTAATAAAATTTGATTACAGAAATATCAAATTGAATATTATATTGATGTATAAATATGAAAATATAGCTTCAATTTTTTTTTTATATATACAATATTATAGTATTAACTTGTGATGAACATCAAATTAAAAAATTGTTTCGAAAAAATGTTATTTTTTTAAAAAAATGAATTTGGCACGGGGATTAAAAATATAGCATAACCAAACTAAAATTGTGGAGGAATTAACGTTAACTTTTCAAGCTAGGTTACATAGGTCGAAGCCTACAAGGAATTAACATTAAAGTGAACTAAAATTGTCCATCCATTGGGGAATCGATTGGTCGTTGAAAATGAAATCGTTTTTATGTCAGGAGGCAAAGGATTTTGCATTCATGGAAGTCTATTTAGAAAAAAGGTTGTGCAAGTGCAATAAGCTGCTGATAATTTGTCTGTTTATATTGGTGGGTAACATCAAGAAAAAGAACTGTATCCACAACATATATTATATAAGCATCAAAAGCTATGAAAGGGAAAAGAGCATATTACTTCAGATAAGGAATAGTCATATTCCTCAATAAGGATGGCTTTCGACCAACAAATTCTTGCCACTCCTCTGGATCAATCCTTCCATCTCCTTTTAAGTCTGCTTCTTCGAAGGTCTGTGGAACAATGCAAGTGGGGTAAAGTACATATTTAATTACATGTTTTATAAAACAAGAATTAATTAATCCCCAAACAATAATTTAACGATGAAAAAGGAAAGTGCTGATACCTTATCAAGTACGACTTCAATTATGTCATTAGACAGAACCAGATCTGACTCACTCAGTAGTGCACATATCATCTCTTTTACCTTCATATTTTGAAAAATATAATCACTCTACCGGGTTTTAAATGTTCATCAGAGTTACTTCTATAGTTTATGCCATGCGTTATATGCAATTTATTCTTAAACATCTCAATATTTTGTTTACCTCCTCGCGTTCAATAAAGCCTTTTTGACATATATCATAGAGTCGAAATGCAACTGCCACAATAGACACCAAGGCTTCAGCATAAATACAGTAAAGCATGCAGACTCACACTTTCCAGAGGAATTCTTACAATCTGCTTTTTGTGCTTGTGGTGCTGCTGGGTGGAAGACACTTAGACCTCGAATGAACTCTCCAAATTCTATCACCCCATCTCTTTTGGAGTCAAATAATTGAAATAACTGTGAACATATTTATTATTATCACTGACTCATTGCAAAAGAAACTCAAAAAGATTGTAGCACAGGTCAGTGGCCACCATTTTATTATCACAGTAAATTGATAAAAGTTAAATAAGAAGAAACTGACCCTGTCAGTAAATAAGCTTCGTTCCTTGCTGCTTCCAAGTATTCCAAGCTGAAACTCTTCCTGCATAAAATTCAAGATATACAACTCCTTTGTTAATTAAGTGGCACAATGCCAAATATAGTAGAATAAAGGTAAATTACACCAGTTTCCTGAAATTTCGAGCGATTGTGAACAACAATTCCTTTGATTATTTGAAATATATACTGAGTATATGAAACAGCTCCTTAAATTGCTCGAAGCAGAATATATTCAAACAAGAGGTATGCGGCGTTTATTTAGTGTTTTGAGCCCGAACTTAAGAGCTTAATTTAATTACTTTGCTGATAACCCCGTCGTCCACCATCGAGCTGCTTAATTTCTTGAACAGAACATGCAATGCTTCAATTTCAGAAATTTTAACTGCACGAATATACCCAGAGGAATAAGAAATTGATTAATGAAAGTTGAACACGAAATCTCATAATACAAAAGGGATTACAAAATTAGAAAGAATGCTTACAATAGGTTTGGGAAGCAAGAAGTGCTGGATCTTGAAGATGAAGTCGCTCTTTGGAGCAACAACACCCCATCAATTGCACTTTTTTCTGTGTTCTATACTCTGGTAGGGAACGAGAATTTGATATTGCACTGCATCGTACTATAAATATGTTCTAATATGCAGGGAACAATAGGAATATTTTTGTTTTAGTAATAAATAGAAAAAGCTAAGGACTATCATTTCTTTTTTCGCAAAATACACGTTAATTATACCTTGATAGAGTTAGCAAATATTCGTTAAAAATAAAGCTACAAGGTTTAAGAGTTACTTTAAAAAAAGGAATAAGTAATACTTTAAGATTAAGTTGCGACAATTATAAGAATTAAATGATATTTTAGTTGCGACGAGAAATTTACATTTGAAGTGTTTTATAATAAAAAAATATATTTTTAAAAATATTTAAAATTTTATAAAGATGTCAATTTAAACTAGACAATTTTATATTCTATTTTAAAAATACAAATAATATGATATTTTCGCTTCCCAAAATTTTATTGGCTCAATATTGCATTGTTGGATATACCATTGTCTCTTGTTATTTGAACCAAAATTGGGTCATCTACTTGATATATTTTTTCAACTAATGTTGGAGAAAGTTTCTTTTAAAATAAAATTAATTAAGGTTGTTTTTAACGACATCATTAATGTTATTTTTTTGGTTGACATAGGTTAGTGTTATTTTTCATTCGACATTAATTAAAATTTTCTTTATCAACATGCACTGTATTTTTCTTTTTTCTCTTTAAATACATTTATTTCTGGTTGACATAGATTAATATTATCTTTAGTTGATGTCAATTTTAATTAATTATTTATTGATAATTTTTATAATAGCAGATTTTTTAAAAAACTTACTAACATAGGCCAGGGCTTTCTTTTATCAATATTGACAACTTGTTTTTCAACCAATGGTGGAGTTTCTTCATTCACAGTATTGAAACTATTTTTAGACTTAAGTCAGAAAGATTTTTTTCAACCAATGTTCATAGTATTTTTTTATTGACATAACTAAATTTTGTTTCCATTAGTGTGGAATAATATTATATATCATTCGAGTAAGTCAGAATTTTTTTTATCAATGTTGATATCACTAGTTTATAACAAATGTTAACTATTCTTTTTGTCGATATTTGTTGTGTTTATTATTTTGAGAATATTTGCAATGACTAATTTTGAACTAACGTCACTAGTATTAATTTTAGACTAAAGTTGGTAAAAAAATTTTATTTTTTCTACTATCAAATGGAGAAACTTTTGGTCAATTTTGACTACGATTACGTTGACTTATGTAATTAGAAATGCCTTTTAGTCAACATTGGTAAAAAAAATCTTGACAACCTTAATTGATGCAAATTAAAATAGTTATAACATACATTAACTAAAAGTAAAGTTTATTAATATTATTAGAGAGAAGGTTAAAACCTTTGATAGACTTTATCCTAAAAATAATCTCATTAACATCAATTAAAATATGATTAGGTTGACTGATGTAATTGGAAATGCCTTTGCGTATATATTTAGAAGACTGACTAACAATGTATTTGAAGTTTTTTGGTTAATATCCTGCCAAACCCATTTACTTTTTGTCTTAACTTTATTTCGTCTTTTCTCTTTTTCCTCTGCACACCAAATGTTTGGTTAAATTCTTTGCAGAAAAGAGAGTGGAAGTAAAGAACGATAGATGGCTGTTTGCTTTTCTTTTTGGCGAAAGTTTGCAATTCGGTATGGTACATCTTTACAAATATGGGTGGCGTGGACGGTGTGGCAATAGTGTAGTATCTCACCCGAGTGGATCTGTATTCTCCATTTGTTCGATGCACATGAAAATCGATGACCATCAAAGATGATGCGTCCTCATGTTCGTCTGTGCCACCCAATTGGGTAATAAAGCGCGAATCTAATTCAATTCTCATGTTCCAAAACAAGCATTCTCCGCAGACGCATAGAAAATTTATTCTTTTTGTTCGACAATCTACAAAATCTTTCTTATGAGGAACACTCTAACCAGCCAATATTTTATCGTCAAAATCTTGAAATTTGCTCTTATTTTGGCCTCCAAATCAATCGACCGCTACTCATATTCATATTTCTGCACTTCCCAAGCAGAATCACCTCCTAATACACTCTTTTAGATTTACTCTGTAGTTTAAATATACTGCATTCTACCAAATCATGATAGTTTTCATTAACGAATTAAACACGTAACTCACTAAATTTTTTGTTATTTTATCAATAACTAAAACAATATCCAAAAATTAGTATAGAGATTTTGATACAATTGTTTTTTGGCCACACTGAGAGTGTTTCTCGATATCAGTATGAAAATCTTTCCTAGTACTATATAATTTTTCTGTCTTTGAAGCAGTGAACACGGGACGGGTTGGTGTTTTCAACATATTATACAATGTATTCAAGGAGCAAGTGTGACTGCCTAGTATAGCTAGTCTTCCATCTCAGTGTGCAAAATAAAGCTGGGAAATGCGAGGGTTATATCCCTGATAAACAGAATCGTCCAGGTATGATTTTATAAATAGACTTGTACACTAAAAGAATGAGTGCTAAAGTTTCACTGCGCAGATAAGTAAGTTTTTGTTTTTTTTTTTCTAAAGTAATTTAACACTGAAATTATCATTGTGATGCAAGTTATTACAATTTGAAATAAGTCATATCAATGACAAAATTTCAATACGTGTTATATAACTTCTTCTCGTGTCAATTTCACATGATTTATCTTAAATTTTAATTTTTTGTAAAACTTGCATCAAAATAGTAATTTGAGTGGTAAATTGTCCCAAAGAGGAAAAAAAGAAGAAGCGGAAAAGTGACTAACTTTAGAAAGGGTAGAGTCATGATCTTCAGAAGAGAAGGATTTTGTGTCACGTAATCTCTCCACTCTTCGTTATCTATCTTACCATCTCCTTTTGAATCAACCTCCAGCATTGTCTGAAACATTACGTGAAGAAGAAAATAACCAATAAGGGAAAAAAATTTGAATAGCGGATTGGGAAAAAAATAGAGAAATTGAAGAACAGATTCGTGCTTGGTTCACAACCCTGTACACAATTGCTTCAACAACATCATCGGGAACTGTAACATCTGATTCAGTGAGAGCAGCCAACACCATTTCCTTCAACTTGAGTGCACCATTAAGGACAGAAGGGAATTCATGAATAATAAGAACGAATCATAAACTATAAAAGTGGTTAGAGGTGAAAATGTAAACGAATGAAAGACCACAGAATGCTAGAGTAGTAACTCACCTCGTGATGCTCAATGTATCCACTCTGTGTAAGGTCAAACAATCTAAATGCAACTGCCAGAAAGAAAAATCGGCACAATCAAGCTCAATTTGCATAACCAAAAAAAGCATAACAGACAAACAACGTTTGATTTTCGATTTATGTAACAAACAAATGATGTCCTACATTCAATTTTCTTCTCTTCAGAGGCATTTGGATGAAAGATACTCAGCGAGCGAACAAACTCCCCAAAGCTAATTACTCCATCACGCTTGATGTCAAACATATCAAATACCTGCATTTTGCCGACAAAAATCATACATCTTCAGCATTGATTTTTTGGAGTCTCGTCTTCATTTAATATACACAGAATTACAAGCATTCAGTGGTTACTTTGATACACTGATTAAATTTTCAGATATTTGGTGATCCATTCAAAAGTTCGTTAATATCTTTATCCATCATTATAATTGTATAAACATTTTGTAAAAAATAATTAATATAATCAGAAGTTACAACATTTTTATAATCACCTTTTTTGTTATCACATTACTCATCTTGTTTATGTAACCTCTTTCTTCTCTTTTATCTTACTCCTAGTTGGAGGAATAAAATTTCTCACACTGTAAGCAACACTAAGCATAACATAATAGTACAATTTGGTGAAGTAACTTTCTGGTACTATTCACTTTTTTTCTTGGATGCATGGTGCACTTTACAGGATGTAAGAAAATAAAGGAAAAAATGTACAAGGGCGCACCCTATCTGCAAATAGATTCTGCTTGCTATCATTATTAAAAAGTGCAAGATGGAACTCCTCCTGCAGATAAAAATTTCAAGAATTTAACACCTTTAACTTTCGTTCCATCAAAATGCTTAGAAAATTATGATGACAATTCAGCAATATAGAAGGGTCATGGGTAAATGGAATCATTATCACTAGTACAAGCTTAAATGGAAATACCTTGTGAAGGAAGTCATCATCAACAATTGCACTACTTAATTTCTTAAACGAGCAAAGCAAAGCCTCAATCTCATTCACAGTAACTGTCAAAGGGTAAAGGACATCTGAGAGTTAAGTTATACGAAAACCAACATGATCCCCACAAACGTTTGGCATAACACATGATGCCAAAATTATGGTCTGTCACCTACAAGTTTTCGATTTGGAATGAGAATGTTGTGACAACTTTAGAACTAAAACCTCAAATGGAATCCTATGTGCTAGTTTGGTCTATTGATAAGTGGCATTCCAAAAACAACAACACAAAGGCAATGGCCAGATTGATAATGATAGGGAAGTCATGGTTCATTTCATGAAAAATCAAAGAAATAGCGTGTGAATGAAGTTTTTTCTACTTACAGGATGTTTCCGAAGCAAGAACGGTGGATAGTTCTAGCTTAGTCTTTGGTCTAGCTTTCTTCAAGCAAAAGCAGCTCATAGACATTGACATAATTTCAGTTTAAGGATTATAGGATGTAATTATGTCAGAGACAGCACTGTTAAACATCAAAGAGAAAAATGTTTAAGTTCACGATTAATCTCTAGAAGATTCTGCTAATGTGTCATTATTAAGACTCTTTCACCCAATTGATGCAAACTCTAGTGGGAGTTTGTGTAATTTACCAAATATTTCAAGTTCAAACATTGTTTACCTTATTGTATTACAAAACGAGTTATCTTCTGCTATATTTATTATTTTATTTCTCTCTTCAATTCCTTTCACTTTATCTATCATTTTCCACTCTTTATTTTGTCCTTTTATGTTGCTTTTCCCATCTATACCACAAAAATGAGGATGCACGTTGATAATTTTCTATGCAAACTTTGCAAAACAATCTGAGAAAATTATAAAAGTTTAAGGAATCTATATGTATGAGTATATGCAATCTAATTAAAGCTGTCAGTTCAGAGCATAAATACTATTACAGGATCTTCACCATCAATGGTTCGGCAAAGATACAATGAAGTCAGAATGTTAGCGAGTATCTCAATTCAATTTAAGACTTAGAAAAAATCTGACTTATCATTGAATCGAACTTATTTAATAGTGAATAATTATCCGAAACAGAGAAAAAAAATGTCAACAAAAGCAGTAAATCTTTGTTATTTGGTTGTAACAGTCCTCAGATATGGAAGCAAACATCTTAGAGTTTAAAGAGAGAAGAGAATAAAAAACATGGAACATTACATGGAATAAAAGCGACTTACAGAAACCAGAAGAAGATGGTTATATCCTTCAAAAGTACAGAAATATTCACAGGTATACCCAGGACAGCTTCATTCGCACGATCGTGTCCTTCTTCTTCCTTTTAATTGATGTTCGTGCATTCGACATTTGATTTTATATGTTATTATGTTTATCATATTCAAAGTTACACTTTATAGTTTATTCGTAAATGGGCTTGATAGGCACGTTATTTCATATTAAATTGAATCACTTGTCATTTGCATTGGTATTATATGGATTAAACGAAAAAAAAAATTTACTTGTTCGTTAGAAAAAAAAATGTTTGCAAAATAAACCTTTTTTTTATATTTTTTTATGTCTAACAACAAAATACAATCTCTTGTATGTCTTTATGACTATGAATTTAATATCATATTTATAGTATTATATAACTATTACTAGTCAATCACTTATACAAAGTCATAATTGAAATATATTACAAGTCATTTAATATATTTTACTATATCTCCCAACCACTCCTATTTGAAAGTGGCATGCACGTATATATAAATATTCGCAAACAAGACTAAAACAATACTTATGTATTTGAAACAAGACTTATGAAAAAGTATCATTATTTTTTAAAAATGTTTTGCTTAAGCGTAAAAGTTAAAGTAGCTAGTAAAAAATACCTGAAAATGTTGATTACAGAAACAAATAAAAAAATAATATTAAAGCGTTTGGCCACTGGTGGTGTTAAAGAATGCTTCTTGGTGTCAATAATATTACAGTTAAAAAATGTCTTCAAAAAGAAAAAAGAATTATAGAAAATACAAATCAACCCCTTTGTGGTTGTTATTCAAATAATTGGCATGAGAAATTATGCCTACTTGAATGACAGAATAAAAGTAGATGTGTGTAAAATTCTCGAATTATAATATATGATAAATCTCTATTATAAATACTTTGCATAACTAAGCCAAAATCAAAAGTATTTTTCAACAAAAATGTTAAAGTAAGAAATGTTATTAATTAGGCTTTAACTAAATCAGAATACTCAAGCAGTGAAAGTACACATTTGCCAACAAAGATCACGGGATGTTATTATCATTAACTAGAGATGAAAAATGAGTATTGTTGTGTGAGAATGCAAAACTCCTATTATAATCACACAAAATGTTCCAAACAAAAGGAATACGTAGATGAAATGTTCGAAAGATTAATTGTCTTATCTTAATGTACTTGTATCATCAATTTTACGATTCTGTTACACATCAATTAATCAAATAGAGGAATTGTTGTAGTTGCGTTTTATTTTTTTAGCTTTAGTTTTTTCTTATACGTTAATTCAATTATTAATTTTTTACCATAATTGGTCCATTAGTAATTGTTCATTGACGAATGGATGCATATCATAACAAATTGCATGTACAGTCAATTTTTACTCATCGTACATGATTATTGGTCATGTGACTGTTACTGAGGACTTTGCTTCTTAACAGTCATGACTACTTTTTGTATCTAATCATATAATAATTTTTTTTTTGTGATTGGATAAAAGTTTTAACAATTTCAAGATATTTAAAATAACTTACCATATGTATTCTTTAAATAATTTTTTTAATAAAGTAATTAAAATATTTTAGATTTTAATCTTTTTGGAAAAAATAATTTAACTTTTATTTTAAGATAAAATTTTATTTTAAAAATATTTAATCTAAGTTAACTTAGTTTGACTTCCAATTCAAACGGATTCATCTCAAGTGGTCTTGAGTGTGTGATTCGGACGAGTCATCTCAATATTTAACTTAAATCAACTCGTTCTGACCCTAGACTCGAGACAACTTGTCTCAACTTTTGACTTGTAATAATAACTTGATATTCAATCCGAGTGTATTCTTAACTTTTGATTCGGGCTTAGCCATCATGACCTATGACTTTAGCTGATTTATTTTATCAAGTGCTAGCAAGCTCTTTAGTTTAGGCCAACTCATCACGATTTTCAACTTGGTCTGACTCATCACAACTTTCAATCCAATGAACATATTTTAACCTTTGCCCAGGGTCGAATTTGCTGAACCTTTGGTCTAAGACAACTCATTAGGATTTTCAATCCAAGTTGACTAGTCACAACCTTCAATTAAGACAGATTCATTAAGACATCTCTGACTTAACGAATATATCTCGGTCTTCAACTTAGACCAAATTAGCCTAACCTTTGAGGTAGGACAAATCACTCGACCTTCGGCTCAGACCAAATTGATTTCACCTTCAATCCAATTTGAATTGGATCAATATTTGGCTTAGACCGCAATCTTTAACTTGCAAATCGACTTGACTTTTGATCCAAGTTAAATCGACTCAACTTTTAACCTCGATCAAATTGATTCAAGCTTCAACCGTGCTGAATAGGTTCAAACATCAACTCATGTCGAATTATGTCAAACTTTAACTCGGACCAAATCGTTTTGATCTTTTAACTTGTGCCAAATGGAGCCGAACTATTTTGGCTACCTTATTTTTCTTCAAAAGGTGCACTCACTTTGAGTTAGGCCTAAATGTTTTTTTTTCCTCACTGATTGAATTTTCAAAATTATCATTTTAACCTTCATAAAAAGTAATTATCGAATTATCTATTTTAGATTTTGTAAAACTTTTGGAACGTCATTCTTAAAACATATTATTAGAAATAAAATTTTTGGAATGAACTTTTGAGAACATATGAAATATATTTGTTTTCTAGAACAATCTTTTTGAAACATTTAATACTTTCAGAGTGAGTGTTTTTTTCGCAATGCATTCTCTCTCCACCATTGGCAATGAAAACGACAATGGTGAGTGGTGCAGTTCGAATGGAAGAGGGTATTCTAGTTTTTTCCGTTGGAATAGGGTAGTTAATAATGATTGGGGTGCAAGAAGAAAAAGTATAACCATAATTATCAATGGCCCATGAGTGGAAAAAAAATCCGCGACGCTGAGAGCGCTAATTGCTCACTCACGTTGCGCACGTGATGTCAAAGACGTCGTCGACAACGTATCGAGGTTTTTAATTTTCAACGCAAAACGTTTCGGAGCCAGATCGGATGAATTGAACCCGGACTAAGTTACATACCGCGGTTTCTCTTCGCCCGATTCCATTAGTCGATAATTTCACGGGCAATTGATTAAGTCATTTGACGCTTTAGCACCCTACTATCTTATCGTGTGATTAGTTCTTCTCATCGCATTCTTTTTCCTTTTACGCCATCAATTTCCGTGTCTATATCCTGTTGGCGCTTCTTCAAGGTCCTGCAACTTTCACAAATTGAATTGTGCCGAAGTTTGGTGCCAAAGTCTCGTGGCCGTATCTCTAATTGGCGCCGAGCTCACGGTGTAATATTTTCTGTCTTCGAATCAGCTTCTCAATGGAGGCGGATTTCGTGACCAATGATATGCTCGCACTCACACACGATGCTTTTGATGCCAACGATAATGTAAGCTTGTCGATTTTCGCTTCCACCTGTAGTTACTGTATTGTTGTAGGTTTTCGCTTTTTATATGAAGTATTGCTTAAACCCTTGCTTACGCTTGTTTTGTGGTTTTGATAATCTCAAGTTATCTTAAAATTTAATTTCGTTTATGTTGTTTGATGATTCACATGTTTGCTTAAGATAGAGTCGTGTATAGCAACTGGTTGGTTTCTTACGGTATTTCTTTCACCGGAACACTCGGTATTTCTTAATGAACAGGATGATGTAGCTATTGAAGGGGAAAGATGTGGAATATGTATGGATGTAGTTATTGACAGGGGAGTTCTGGATTGCTGTCAGCACTGGTATGTATTTAAAATATATTGTCGTATCTTAATCTCGCTGGTTTGATAGTGTCAATTTGTTTTATGGATTGTGCCTTGCGCCTTATCTGCAGACTTTACAGAAGTAGGTTTCATTATTCATTGTGCATGGTGAAGATATAGGAGAATGACTTATAGGGAAAAAATAGTAATTGATGATGTACTGGTAAAAGTCTAATAGTACATTGCTCTTGATTCAACTTATTGAGAGCTTTAAAGAAAATATAACTCAGAAATTATCCAAATATTCATGCTAATGGGTGCAAGTCATTGTTGGACTGGTTTTTGATTAAATTGTGAAGCTGAATCTAATATTATTTATAATAACATCAAAAGCTTTTTCCCGCTTGGTAGTTTTTTTGGCTAAGAATGATAAAAGGATAACTTACAATCTTCTGCTCTAAGAGATGCTTACTCTGCCTTCCTCTTTGGTTTTAAGAATTCTAATTCCTGCTCTTAGTAGATGAATATACCACGCTTTATTTCAATGTAAATGAACTTTTTAGTGATGGTGACTGGTAAACGCGGAGCAGTATGAACGAGCCTTCCATAGATAGTTTTCATCCCAAGTAAAGCGTGTTGTTTCATTACATACTTCATTTATGAGAGATTTAGGTGTATTATGGGGTTATTTACGGAAATGTTGAGATGTTCACTTATTGTATTTTTATCTGAAAACTTGATTATTTTTGGGGAAGTTCCAAAAAGTGCAAATAACTAAATTAAGTGGTGATCAGGGCTTAACTGAACCTTAAATTACCGTACTTTTTAAAATAGTTCAAAAACCTAAGTTGGATTTGTTGATTCGGTGCATGAACCAAGTCATATTACACTTGTTAGAACTACATTAATGGTTACATCTGAGTGTGGGAATGCTACACCTGCAACTAAAGGGTTGTGCAATTATGTTACGGAAAGCCTAAAGAGGACTAATAAAGATAGAGTCTTTGAATGGAACAAGTAGTTTGGGAAAAAGGTAGTTCATGAAGTGAAGTCGGCAAAGTAATTTCATTGTTATGCCTACTCATTCCAATGTTTCTTTCTTGGTGTTGTTCCATTGTATTATGCAACAGAAATGCACATCTCTCTCTATGATTGTGTGGTTATTTTTTGAGGTCTATGCCACTTTATATACGACAACAATGCCTTATCTCTTGAGGTGAAATTAGCTACATGGATCACATGCCGTTATTCTAATCACTTAAAGACTATCTTGACCAATTCCTCAAATTTCCTTATTAGCCTCCCTCTCCTCTTCATTGGGTTAAAAGCCACGCAGTCTACTCTTCTCATCAACGCCTCCCTTGGTATTCTTTATACACGGGCAAATATACCTTGTTAGTCCTATGCAATCACTTAATGAGATCTTCCGCAGGAGGATCTATCAATTCATAACCAATAACTTACCATAAAACATAGATGGAGCTCTTGGCCATGGTTTGGAAAAACAAGAAATAAAGAGTAAAGTAAAAATCAATTAGATAAGGTGAGAAGATGGAAATAACATGTCACCTTTGATGACTCAAAGGATAAGTCACTGTTGGTGTAATTCTTATGATTCATGAAACCTAACTAATTTGGCTCTGTTCAATAGAATTATGAATTATATGTGCAGTTCAATTTTATTCAGGCCTAGTTATTTTTTAGGATCTGAGCCTAGTAACTAATTTGGTTAGGTTAAATTGTTTATACTCACTCACCAAAATTGTTTTTGTTTTGCTATGCTTGCCTTTTGCTTTGGTGGGAAAGTTATAAATGTGGTATTGTAATATGAGGATTTCTTAGATGCCCATACATTCTTTCTGTACTATCTTATAGAATGTATTGTTTTTCTACCTTATCATCTTACTCTTTTTGTGATAATTTTTTATTAGTGTAAACTTCAGCTTCTTTTCTTCATGTATTATTTATTTGTAATACTATCTTAGTAAAGACAAAGGCTACTGGTGCATTTTTAGCCCCTCCAATTTACTCAGTGCAATTTTTCCTTATATTGAAACGTGTCATATGACCTTGGGGAACAAAAATTTTCTGGATGGATGCACAAGGTTAAAGGGATTGTTTTCATGCCTGTAGGTAGCATCTATTAGTTTTCACAATAATTTTGTTATGTTAAATTTTTATTCTTTACCTCCACTTAGTCCCATTAAATGTTTTTTCCCCTTAATTTCTCAGTATTTATATTGAAATTTTAATCTGAAGTTTTAGCTTGGTTTATTTGATTCACAGGTTCTGCTTTGTATGCATTGACAACTGGGCTACCATCACTAATCTTTGCCCACTTTGCCAGAATGAGTTTCAGTTAATCACTTGTGTTCCAGTGAGTGATATAAAATTGAGGAATGCTGCTTTTTCTTCATTGCTTTAGTATAACTCTTCAGGTTACAATTGAATTTGCCCACCTTATTAATTCTCTTCTAGACCGTGTACTTTGTTGCTTTGATTAATATTATTACGAAAATCTATGTTTTTAATGCATATAATACCTTGAAGATACAATTAAAATTTGGTGTGTGTGGCTAAACATGCGAAACTCATGATTGTGAAGGTATATGATACCGTTGGAAACAACAAAGTTGAGGATGATTCACTCCTTAGGTAAGTTTCCATCCGTTATGCATCTGATTGACAGTCTTATTCATTGTTTATTTATATCCAGATGCATAAGCCTAGGATTTTCTAAATTGGATTTCTAGTTGAAAGTCATGAATTTTGCATAATTCTAGGCATGCATCATTATATCTGAATTTTAAGGAAACAATTAACAGTTTCAGTACTAAATATCGACTAAATACTTGTGTTTGATTACTCAATTTTGAGTAAATACTTTACATGTTTATCATGTTTCCACTTTAAAAAAAGTTATATAATATTTTCACTGTTTTTCTTCATGATTGCAGAGATGATGATGATTGGTCCATTGAAGGGAAGAATAACACACTGCAATTTCCCTCATACTACATCGATGAAAATGTAATTGTTTTCAATATAATATAATTTTAGAATTACGTGCAACAAATCTTGACCTCTGGTTAATTAATATTAATGGCAACCTTGCTTCTAGTTTTTCTTGTATTTTTTGCACGAGCACTTATCCTCCATGCGAAGATCTTTTTATTCTTGTTTTAAGTTGATTTCTAGTTTTATATAAATGTCACTACTTTATCTAGAGTCATATTGTACATATAAATTATGGTATTTATATCCTTAGCACTCACTGTGTTACCTGTGGTTTGATTCAGTATATACATTGGCCTTATAGCTAACCTTAACTACAACAAAAGCCTTTTTCCTACTAGGTTAGGTAAGCTACATGGATTGCATGACACTATTCAATGATAAGTACACAACAGACACTTGGAGAACTCACCCTCAGAAGCTAGTTATTAAGGGATGAGAACCAAACACTTAAATACTCCATCTAGCATTCCATACTAAATGTGTGATTTAAGCACTCCATAATACCCAAGTTCCTATCACAACACCACCCCTAAGAGCTGACATCTCAGCAGCTCTCACTCCATCACAGTTCACTCAACTCCTTATTGGAAGTGAAAACAGGTTATGGCAGAAGCATTGGAGACCAAAATATAAAACCTCTAGATAAATAAAAAAATACAGAAATATAATTGTAATGCAAAAGTAATGGAGACAATCGCATGATTAATGATAATGTCTAGAAATTCAAATAATAATATCAAAGCAACAAAACACTACCAAGTTTAAGTTCAAGACTTTAAAATAACAACAAACGTAAGACAAGTGTCCTAAATTTGTAATTTTCTGGTTTTTTCTCAATTCCAACATCAATGTTATCCAATAGGCTAAATCCCTCCTCTTACCCTCCTTTGGAGATAAACTTGTCAATGTTAAGTAATTTTTCAGTTTCTTCATACTCATACTTAGAACTATCAAATTCCAGTTCATCATCAATCCTAAATTGAAAATTGTCTTTTCCCCTTCCTGTTGAGGCTGAAGTTGCACCTAGACCTTTCTTGGAAGCATGGGAAGATCAAATAACAATCACCACATGATGGTTGCCTTTTGTAATATTTTTGTTTTTCTCCTTGTATAAATTCTTGGCTCTCCAATGCTTGAAATTTCATAAACAGGTGCCCAATCAAGAGCGGGATCATCATAAAAATCAAATCATTCCCCTCATCCTCATTATCATTATCATCCACTTGTCCCTCTAATTGCTCAGTGCACTCTTCAATGTCATTGAGAACCATAGGATCTCTAGTATTGCATCTTGGAGCAGGTTGTTGGTTATACATTATCTAATCCAGATCATGCATTTTTTATAGTCAAACCTATTTCTCTTTGTTTGAATAAATCTGCATTGTGAAAAGTAAAATGTGAATTAGATTCTTCCTACTTTCTACAAAAATAATAATATTGAAATTAGCCATGGACAATAGTTATTACTCACTCAAATACATGCCATTTGCATTCAAATCCTGATGAGCTACATATCAAGCTTAAAATACAAATTTTTGCAAGTTTGGAGTTCCATAATTTTCAACACAACTAGTGCTTTTAACAAAATTAATGCACAACACTAATCCTCATGTATTTTATCATTTTGTAGGCAGTTATTTGCTTGGATGGCGATGACTGCAAGGTTCGTAATGGGTTGGCTACTGTTGAAGGAGATTCTGATCTCGATACATCAATAGCATGTGATTCATGTGACATATGGTAAACTTAAATAAACATATTAGGTTAATAAGTTTAAGATGTCATTGAGTAAAATTTTAGTTGGTTATTGTCTTTTGGAACTATGAAGTTGGGGTTGGATTGGTCAGCTCTATAATAGCATATTTTCCTTGGGTTTAAACTTCGCCTATAAGGTGTTTTGGCAGAAAAAAATGTTTCTCTTAGAAAGTGGGTTTAGAGCTAACTCAATCCTATGAAATTTGATTATAAGGTGAGGTTTGTAGTCATTTACATACTATAATTTGACCGTATCTTTAATTGATGAGATTTCCAACATACCCTCATGTTCAACACTATTGGGCTTGGTATGTGAATAACACCGTGAGTGACCATCTTAATGAATCTAGGATAGACTCTAATATCATCTCACAAAATAATTTAAGTTTAACTCAATTTTACAAAATTAACTCATAAGGTGCGAATGGGTCCCATTCATGGTAGTAAGTATCATACGATTCAGAATACGAATTTTACAATTCGATACGATTCAAGCCCTTCGCAATACGAATCATATGAAAACTCGAATCGCACGATATAGGTTTGAATTGTGTGAATCGTGAGCCGAATTGCGTTGAGTCATCAGTGACCACTAAACCAATTTGGGTCACCCAACCCATTTTGAAAACCCTAATTTTCTTACCTTTGTTTTTTCACACGATAAAAACTTGTCTCTCATTCGCATATCTCCTTCTCACATTCTCGTCTCTTGTCTCTCGTTATCTCTTGAGGTAAGGGCCTCTCATTCTCATGTCGGGTCTCGCATTCTCGTGTCTCGTTTCCTCTCTGTGTGCGCGCGAGGCTCTGCTTCGGTGGTGTAACGTTGTTGGAGGTCCTGCAGTGGTGGTGCGACGTTGTTGGAGGTCCTGCAGTGGTGGTGTGACGTTGCTAGAGGTTGTGCGGTGGTGGATGGCTTGAGTGATGTTGATCTTGGAGATGAAGATGATGAAATATCAATGATTAGAATAGAAGGTTTTTTTAGGTTGCTAGTATACAAGCAACAACCATAGTTTGTTTGTAGTAATTATGCAAATAGCAACAACAACACTTATTTTTGGGATGGCTATAATAAAAAATTTGTTTAGTAGCATATAGCCATAGTTAAAGGAATCTTATGTAGCAACCACATTGTTTTTTGAAGGCTGTGTTGCTGAAATTTTGTGGTAAATACACATAGATACAACCACTCTATTTGACTGAGGTTGTTTTGTTATTAATTGTATCTTTGCAAATTTATATATCTTATATATTTAAGTACATGTTACATTTTTTAATGTTTATGAATCTTACTATTCATCACGATACGATACAATTCCCGATTGAAAATTTTAAGCTCTCTGATACTCAAAACAATTCATGATTCAACTACCTTGGTCCCATTTATTTATATACCTGACATTATCTTTAATTGATGTGACACATGGGTTTTTCTTATAGTTTGACTACATATCTAGTCCCGGTGTGAAATTTTGAGCGGTTTCTTAGCTTGTCATAATGTATATGGATAAATTCATAATAAATAGTGATAGAAGCTTAGTTAAATCTAATTGGTGAATTAGAAATTTGATGGAAATCAAGGGTGTAGCCAGGCCTGAACATACATGGTTTATATGTATGCCTTATCAAAGAATGACCATCAATGATGTACAAGCTAGATAATGATTGTAATTATAACTTATAAAGAGGTGATGTAAATAATGTAGAGAAGAGCTTGCGTAAGTGTTTTAGTCACTCTTTAATGGGTAGGTGGTGAAATCAATTCATGAATATATTGTTACTGAATTTTATAAACAGTACCACATAATTTTTTCTTCAATTTCATTATGACAGGTATCATGCATTCTGTGTGGGATTTGATACCGAAAGTACTTCAGAGAGTACATGGTTATGCCCCAGGTAAATTGACTTCACTGGTTATTCTGTTGAATATTTTCGTTCTTCTAATTACTTTTTCTCTTACTTTAATCTCAAAGCTCGATCTGGTTTGTATTTGTTAAGATGCATGTACATACTGGCTACTAGCTTATAAATAATAATATAGAATTTGATATGTTCTAGCTGTCATAAATCAGATTGATAGAAAACATGGGTAGATAATTAATAGTATAAACAAAAATTAGAAGTTATTTATGATGTTATTAATTATGAAAATAATGTATTTATCCGTTGACAAAATTGAACCTACAAAGGATATCTTTAGCAAAACCCTTACTGACAGTATCTGATATCTTCTTTCCAACCTTTTGTATTCTAATTCAGGGTTTTGTTTTAGATGTGTAGCAGATGATGTTTCTAAGGGAGCAACTAATTCAAGGGAGAGGACAACCATGGAATGTAATGCAGACAATAGTAACAGTGATTGCCATGGTGAGGATTCCTTTTCAGGAAAAGTGTCTGTCTCTGTTGCTGATACAGGAGAAACGGCTGTTGTTGTCTCGATGGTTGACAGAGCAAAATGGGTTCCAGCAACAAGTGAGAAAAGCCTATTGCCTTTTGAAGTTGATGCGGATCCAATGACTGAATCATGTATTTTAATGTCTGACATAAATGATCAGCAAAGTGATGAACTGAGGACAAATTCATTACCAATCATGGAAGAAGAACTGGAATTATCTTTATCAAACAATAGTGATTTAAAGAAAAGTGCCAGTGGAGCAATGATTGAACCCAATGGCTTTGATGGAACCGAGTTACTTGACGAATCCCTTACCAAAACTAGTCCATCTAGAATTAAATCTGATATGGGTCTTGATCTTGGTTTGTCAGTGGGCACTTATTTACCTGGTAAACCAATTACTATATATCACTAGCTTTATGTGAGCCTGAAAAGTATCTATTGTAATCAGACTGATTGCCATCATCTTAATGTGCATATAGTTGATGATGCAGACAAGAGTGAACCGAAAGATCAAGCAACAGTTGTCCCATGCTTGACTTCAGAAAAATGTTTTTTGACAGGTACTCAACAATTCTTAGATATGTAATTTTTTTCTTTATTTCAGTCCACACTTGGACTGTGGGAAACCATTTATGGATGTTATTTGTGGCATTTAAACCAGTTCTTAAACCCATATAATGTTGATAATAAAATATTCTCAGGAGATGAAATTGAAGTCAATGCTTGTAAGGTCAATGCCAGAGTGGCTGGTGGAAAGAGAAAGCATGCTGATTTCAGGTAACCATTCATTTAAACTTTTATGATATAAAATGAGTTGTGTGCCATAGTCATCCTGTGTGTAGTGTACTGTATTACTCCAACATGGATAGTGAAGCAAACACTGACACGGACATGCTATATCACATACATGAGCCACATAAATGATCTAAAATAATAAAAAAAAATGTTTGTATATTCTTGTATATGCAGCTTTCTATGATAGTAAGTACAAGAATATTCTAAGAGATTATTTTTTAATACTTAATATTACATTTTGAAGTAATTTTTTTCGGAATGTTAAAGAAATATATTTTTTATAATACTAGTTTTCTTAAAATGCCCATCCATAGAGTTGTCAGATCAAGTGCTAGGGTCAATAAAAACTTTTTGGCAAGCGTCTGACATGTGCCATATTGTAGTTGGTATGGGAAATGTGTTTTGCACTCTTAACGCCTCATGAAAGGTGTCCCTATTGGATAGGTTATTCTAGAAGGATGTGTTACGGATATAACTCTGTTTAGTTGTCAGTCTATCATCTTGCAATCAACTCCTAATTAAGGAAATCAGTCACCCAGAATCAAGCTCCCAGTTAATCACCCTTGATTTTAGGAATTGATGCTTCCTTTTAACCATTAAGATTTTCGTTAATGCTCACTTATATTCTACACATACCAATATTAACTACTTCCAGTTTCTCACCACTCCTTGCTTTTGTTTCCTTTTTGGTTAGGGGGGAGTGAATGATAATAAATGGCCTGGTTGTTTGGTTACTCATCTTCAAGTGTCAGGATAATGTGATTCCCACTAAAGCAGCTATGCTATGTGGTTGTAATTACAGCCATTTAGAACCCCCCTCCTCTCCCCCATCTTTTTTTGAGGGAACACTTTAGATCTTCAATGTTATTCAAAATGGGGTAACAGATTATCATGGTAACAGACACCATGCCATAAATAATAGAAATGGACTGGGCCTAACTCAGCTGTAAAAGCTAACTCACCTTTGGAAGTATGTGGTCGATTACAAAATGTCATCATAATAGTGGTTCTGCTGGTTGGACCATAGCACTTTGAATCTTGATGAATTCTTATACTCACAAACAGGAAGACATAGGAGCAGTAGCCTAGATATTTTTCATACTCATGTACTATTAAAACTGCGTTAGTTGTCTATGATCTTTAAATGCATATTCTGTTGACATAAAAGTTTTAATTGTTTTATGCTTACCACCTGAGTAGTTCAAACCTTGACCTTTTTTTTCTTTTCTTTTTCCCTTGATTTTGTGATTTATGAGACAGTAATGGGCAAGTTTATATAAAGGCTGAGGATGGAGATGCCAAACCTGAACTTCCTGATGAAGTTGTGGCAAAGAAAAGTAAAGCTACTGACAGCCAAATGAGTAACACTAATGACACAGCCAATGATCATCTTTTAGAAAATGCTCCGAAGCACCCTGCTTTAAAAGATTCTCCAACAAAGGCAACAGTTACACCAGATATAATGAATATAGTTAAAGGGACAGTCCGAAGGCTTTCCAAGGGACATACTAGTACTAATGCTTGTGACCAGTCATCTGAAAATAAAGGAAATATGGCTGGGTTGAGGGTTAAAAAGATCATGAAGAGAAATTCCGAGGATAGAGAATCATCCTTGTTAGTTCAAAATCTAAGGAAAGAAATTAGAGAAGCTGTCCGTAACAAATCCTCTATAAACTTCGAGGATAACCATTTTGATCCCAAGCTTCTTGAAGCATTTAGGACTGCTATAACAGGGCCTAAAACTGAACTTGTAAACAAGTTATCCCCTGCAGCTATAAAGGCAAAAAAGTCAATGTTGCAGAAAGGCAAAGTCCGTGAAAATTTAACAAAGAAAATATTTGGTGCTTCCAATGGAAGAAGAAAGCGTGCATGGGATAGGGACTGTGAAATTGAGTTCTGGAAATATCGTTGCATGAGAGCTACGAAGCCTGAAAAGATTGAAACTTTAAAATCAGTTCTTGATTTACTAAGAAAAGGTTCAGATGGTACAGAATCAAAGCAAGTTTCTGAATGTCAAACCAAGGATCCTATACTTTCTAGGTTGTATTTAGCAGATACATCTGTTTTCCCCCGGAAAGAGGATGTAAAACCTCTCTCTGTGCTTAAAACTGTGGCTAACTCTGAGCAAACCAAACAAAACAACCCATCAGAGAAAGTACCAAATCTATCCATTGATAACAATACTATTAAAGCAACAGACGTAAACAATCTCTTATCAAAGATCAGTTTTGTTTCAAATGAAAAAAACGTAGACAAAAAGATTGTACATGGACCAGAAAGGACGCCAGTCTCATCAGTTGGTTCCAAAACTGGCACCAAGGAGTTAGGCCAAAAATCTGGTTGCATGAAGAATGATAAAAGAAAATGGGCCTTGGAGGTCCTTGCGAGGAAAACAGCCACAACCAGCGGAGGAAACACAGCAAATGGAAATCAGGAAGACAACTCAGTTTTTAAAGGAAATTATCCTTTACTTGTATGTAAATGATCTCATCTGACTAGTTTTATCTGCAATTGCTTTATTTACCTTTGATATTGCTATCAGAAATTGGCTATGGCTGTTCACTGTTTCTTCTTTCTGTTATTGTGAGTAGGCCCAACTGCCAAGTGATATGAGACCAGTATTGGCACCTTCTCGACACAATAAAATTCCTATATCAGTTAGGCAGGTATGCAGTACCTTGCGTTTCCACCATATGAAGTTACACACGGTAGATTGATGCATTTTTAATGAAGGCACCGATTCCTAATGACATTGGGATCAGAAAATATGTTCCAATTCCTTAGGAGGGTCATTCTTGTTTCCTCATTTTAGAACTAATATTTATCATTTAGTTATCTTGTGTTTTCAAATGTTAAACAAAACATGTGATTGCCAGTGGTTTTCCCACATATCCCGTTATGGGTCATATAATATAAGTCAAAGTTTCTCACCAGAAAAAGTGATAGAATCTTAAACTTTTTTAATAGTTGATTCTGCCCAAGATAAAAGTCATAATTGACTGGTTGCCAGATTTTAGGGTTGGAATTAAAACTGGTACATGCCAATACAAATTTCGAATAGTTTAATCTTGTTCCCCTTTTGGCATGTTAATGGAGTTGAATATTATTTAAGTAATGGCGCAGGAGTATTTCCAAATGATCAATTCAAGATTCTTTATTTGTGTATACGACTCAGATAGTTGGATTTCTTCTCTCTTAAACTTCATTATTTTGTGCAGACACAGCTTTACCGCCTGACAGAGCGCTTATTGAGGAACACAAATCTGACAGTGATTCGCAGAACTGGCATTACAGAATTAGCTGTTGCAGATGCAATTAATATTGAAAAAGAGGTTGCTGACAGATCAAATAGCAAGCTTGTGTATTTGAACCTTTGTTCGCAGGAGCTCTTGCATCGCACAAATAACACAAAATCTGATGTAGCCACAGATACAACTCCAGCAGCCTCATCAGCAATGCTTAATGATCGACAATCGGAACCAAATATGGAAGATCTTTCAGCTGACCCTGCAGTTGAAACGGCCTTGAAAAATGCTGGTCTGCTGTCTGACTCCCCACCTAGCAGTCCGCATGAGAACAGAGAAACATGTAATGGTGACATGTTGGGGTCCGATAATATACTTGAACTGGATTCGAATCCTGATCTGGATATTTATGGTGATTTTGAGTATGATTTGGAAGATGAGGATTATATTGGTGCTAGTGTTACACAGGTTTCAAAACCAAAACAAGAGCAAAATGAGTCAAAAGTGAAACTTGTTTTCTCCACCATGAACTTGAAAAAGTCAGATATCGCTTTGGATTGTGCTGACGGTGAGGGGCCTGAAAGAAATGAAGTGCCAGGAGAGGCATCCTGCTCGCCAAATTGTCACAATGATGCAGTTCATATGGATAGGTCTTCTCTTTCTTCAGAGCTCCTACCCTTCGAGAGCGCTGTTGAGCCACTTGACAAAGAATTTGAAGAATTATTATACGGCCCTGACAAAGAACCACTAATAAAAAAATTTCCAGCTGGTGAATCAAGATCATTACATGGAGATGGCAAGACAGAAACTCTAAGCGTGGCCAATGACTACCATAATGATGAAGAACTTGCTTTGAATAATGCAATAAAAGCTTCAGAACAGGGGAAGGAGAATCTCACGGAAAAAAATTCTGATACTACCATCACCGACCAGTCTTCCAATATATCTGAAGCCGGTGAAAGTTTCCAACGGAAGGAAGGGAAATCTGATGTCATTGCTAAGCAGACTGACTCGGTAAATCATACAACTAAAAAGGTATTATAAAATTAACTTTCCCATATAACTTATTTCTCTAGTTTTTGTTAAAAAGTAATGCTGTGTGCTATCATTTATGTTTTCTTCCATTTTTATATTTTCCTTTATGATTTTCATATTTCTGTAATATTACTGGAATTTGTACAGGTAGAAGCTTACATCAAGGAGCACATCAGACCACTGTGCAAGAGTGGTGTAATCACGGCTGACCAATACAGGTGGGCTGTTGCAAAAACAACTGAGAAGGTTATGAAGTATCATTGCAAAGCAAAGAATGCGAGTTTTCTCATAAAGGAAGGTGAGAAAGTAAAGAAACTTGCAGAGCAGTATGCTGAAGCAGCCCAACAGACCAAAAAAAATTGATTCATACGGTATCATTTCATCCTCAACTAGTTTTTTCTTTAGTTTTTGCCTCAGCCTTTGTTTTATTATGGTGCTATACTTGCTTTATGGAGCAGCAGCCATGATACGTCAGATTTAGTCTTCACCTCGTCAAATATGTGAATAGAGCACACAATGGAGATTTTTGTTGAATGAAATTGATTTTAAAAACATAATTTGGTTAAAATTGATTTTGACATACAGTGATTTAGGATGATTTTTTTATTATCTAAATTTAGAATATTTTGTTTGACACAGTTATTTAAAATTATTTTAATTCAAAATTTAATTTGAATTAAAATCAATTCTTCAACACGGGATTGAAAATACTAATATTTTCATAAAATTGTATGAATTGGTATTTTAACGTAATTTAGGATATTATAACGTGAATCTTAACTCATTTTTACTCGGATCTTCTGAACTAAGAATCTGAGTTACAGAGTATATTTTCAAATATTAATGTTTGATTTGATTACTAATTGGGAATTCGGTTCCACTCCATTGTATTATATCTGCTTCTGCACCATTTTCGTATAACAACGACTACTCCATCTTGTCCCATACCTATGAATTTCACATTTGGTCAATTCTTACTTAAAAAATGTCAATTACTAGAAAGTAATTTTTTTTTAGTTTTGTCTTTAATAAAGTTACTCATTTAAGTAATTTATATATGACGCAGAACGTAAAATTGGTAGATACAACATAGCTGTTATATAATTGTAAAAATTTAAATGTAATATATCTTGAATTAGTTTAAAACTTGACATAATAATGGGAAATTTTGGTAAATTAATTATTACTATTAGTAATCAGTTATGAATTATAGTTGATTATTGCAATATTCTTTTCGCATATGATGAAATTATGCACTACGTTTTTTTATTATTATTTTAGTGCACAGGAATAAGATTCTTCATTTGGAACTTAAAATTATCGTATAGTTGTGTGGGTCTTAAGCAGACATGACATTCATCTTCTGTAATTATTTACTCCATGCTCAAAATCTATTAAAATGTGGCTAATGTTTCAGGCATGAAAAGATAGATAACATTCATCTTTTTCAATTATTTTAATCTATACAGGTGAAAGCTTACAAATGATCAAAACACAGTACATTCGTCAATCCAGAGCATTAATCAGTACCAATCCAGAGAGTACACTCGTCAATAAGATGAACCCATAGACGCAAAGATGTAGATCTGAACGGAAAGTTATAAAGGTTGCAATACAAGTTGAAATGGAGGAAGAACAAAGGTATGAAGTAGAAACCAAAGAATATGAGAACGGTTTGCCTTTAAATCGTAATATGAGAGGTTTCTTATTGTCATATAACAGCAATACTGTATGTCTGGATTGTCGTACTTTTTTATGGATGTGCGCAGTTTATACGTTAAAAGAGATGTGGGTCAACGTGTAATCAGTGAGTTGGATTTTGGTTTTCACCGCCATGGATTCTCAGAGAAGTCAAAACACATCTCCATTGGGTTTCGTTTGAGAAATTCCATGTTGAATAATTGGTTAAGTTTTCGAATTATTCAATCTGTAAATCCTAAATCCTACTAGATACATTACAACTAATTAGAACTCAAAAATAGATCCGATGTTCCAAATAGAGTAATCCAAAATGTTTTTATGGATTATATTATCTAAAAAAGTGTTCTGAGTAAACAATTCGTCTTAAGAATGGAATAAATTATGTTTGCTAATCTAAAAAGTACATTAGAAAAATTTTAGAATGAGTGATCTTGAATAATATTTTTTACATTTTAAATTGGAAAATTTGTAAGTAATTTTTTGGACACATAATTCCCAATTTTTTGGACACAATTTTAAGACTTGAATTAAATACAAAATAATAATAAAGACGAAAAATATCCTTTTCAAAATTACTGGAGGAGTAAATTGGTCAGCTGCAGTATAGCATTATATTGTTGTTCAAATTACTTTTCCTAAAAATGTATTATAAAATGTACTTTAATTGTAATTTTATAATTTCTTAATTTTACATAATATTAGAATTAACATGTCATGTTAGCGAGACCAATTTGTTTCAATTTACTTTTTTCATCACGAATTACATTACATTCACATTCATACAAATAATCCAACCATTAACCAAAGTGTGATAAAAATAACCCTTGCACTTCAATATTGTTTTTTAAAATCAAATCAACAAATAGTATGCTTATAGTTTATGTAGCTATTTTTAAAATTATTTAGTTCAAAACTCGAATAAATTAATTTAAAAGGAAATTACTTTAAATAAAATCTACAAATTTAGTATAATCCGTTTTGATAAATTTAAAAACGTCACACTTAATTTATAAAAAAAATGTTACATATATAATTTTTTATGTTTAGATAGTTTAATTTTTATTTTTTAAATTAAATATATTTTTAATTCTTAAATTTTGATTTATTTTTTTACATTTTAAATTGAATTTCATTTTTGAGTTATATTTATATTTTTTTATGTTTAATGTAGTTACTTTTTTTTAGTTGTTAAATTTTGATTGATTTTTTTTACAGTTAAACTGAATTCTAATTTAAGTTATTTTTAGTTATTAAAATTATAAACGTCATAGACGAATTTTAATTTTGTATTTAAATTTAATAGTTATAAATATGCTTAATTTTTATTTTTTCTGTTACATGACCTGTTAGTCAATTCTCTCATTTTTGTTTTTTGCAATGGACTATCTATTTTTTTAATAAATTACCATTTTACAAGCAAGAGGAAGGTTGAGAAATGGGAAAAGTGTTGGTGACTGGAAGAAGAAATGATTATGTATCTTGTAACCTTTCTCTAAAAAAAATAATGAATACATGTCTTTACATTCAATTACATTGCTAAAAAGAAAAAGAAAATTAGCGCAATTATTTATAAAAATCATAATTAATTATTAGTATTTTATTATAATAATAAATAATTAGTTTAGATCAAATTATTAATACCAAGTGAAATATATTTTTTCACTCATTTATTTTTTAACTAAATTCTCTCTCTTTCCTTTTTGTGTATTTCTTACCTTTTAGCATAAGCTTCTCTTCCTCTTCTATCTGAACTACAAGAGAAGTAGAGTGAGAAAAAGCTTTATCCGATTGGTGAAAATCTAACACCAAAACAGAACGAGTTGCAGATTCCATTTTTGTTTTCAAGCTCATCTCCTTTCACTTGCACTTCTCAAGTTGCACCAAACCCTAATTCCATAAACCATTTTCATGCATTTCTCTGTCCATTTATGAATTCATCATAACGATGAACATTCTCTCCTCGCCCCACTTTCACATCACCAAATCCCACTACCACCACCGCCATGGGTCACCCAAGCAAACTCCGAGGCGCGTTCCGACCCACCTTCTTCTACGTAGGTCACCCACAGTGCTCTGCAAGTCCTCCTCCGCGAGCGGCGAACCCGGTTCGGATGATTTCGTGAGCCGGGTTCTGAAGGAAAACCCGAGCCAAGTGCAACCCAAGTACCTAATTGGCGACAAGTTATATACTTTGAAAGAAAAGGAGAGTTTGGGTAAAATATCAACTTTTGGTATTTTGGATGTGCTGAAGAGGTTGAACCCGACGAAGCCTCAGAGCAAGAGTGAGAGTGAGGTTTCTGGAGAGAGAAACTCTGTATATTTGAAAGACTTGCTTAAGGAGTATAGAGGGAAACTTTATGTTCCCGAGCAAATTTTTGGGTCGGAGTTATCAGAGGAAGATGAGTTTAACAGGAATGTAAACGAGTTACCCAATATGAGCATTGAGGAGTTCAGGAAGGCTTTGAGTAAGGACAAAGTCAGGTTTATAACTTCAAAAGGAGGAGGAGGAGGTAATAGGGATTTTGTGGTGGATTTGAAGGAAATTCCTGGTGATAAAAGCTTGCACACAACCAAATGGTAGAAAATAATGGAATTATATTCTTAGTTATGCAGCTTGTTTAAACCGAGCAATGCAGTGTTGTGACAGATTGTGATTGTGTGTGGTTTTACAGGGTTCTTAGGCTGGGTAAAGGGGAAGCTCGAGCGGTTTTGGCTGACTACAATGGACCGCGATACGAAATAGAGAGGAGGCATGCTCTGGTTGTTAATCCTTTTCTCACATATGAATGATTTTCATGAGATTAAACTATTCATAGAGACCCTAGTCTCTATTGTAAGTTTTACTGCTGATAAGAGAAAACTATAGGTTTTAGTTCCTTCACTTGCATAAAAGTTATTTTTTGACCCATTTTGTTAACATTGCAGAAGACTTTCTGGCGATAAACTGCTACAAAAGAATCGGTGGTCATATACCACTACAGAAAAAGCTGTGTAGGATGTAATGCTTATAATTTTCTCATATAGAGACTAGAACATAAAATAAAAACAACTATAGGCTGATGTATGGTTTAACCTTTTTCTTATATTAGTGTTAGTGCTAAGGGGGGATGGTCAATTACCTTTGTTTGTTTTACATTTCGTTGTCTTTTTTCTTAGTTATGTATGCTTTCTTACCTAGTTTGTAGTCAGACTCAGATTTGGCAAGATGCATGAATAAATAGATACTTTTTATGGGTGATCATAGTGTCATTTTTCTTTTGACTCTTAATTTATTTTGCCGCAGTCTTGGGTGGGTAAAACGCCAGAGTACCCTCATCCAGTTGCATCTTCCATATCTAGCAGAGTGATGGTTGAGCTCGCGGTGGTGTCAATCTTCATGGCTTTAGCAGCTACTCTAGTTGGAGGCTTCCTTGCAGCAGCATTGTTTGCTGCCACCAGTTTTGTATTTGTGGTGGCTGTCTATGTTGTGTGGCCTATAGCCAAACCGTTCCTCAAGCTCTTTCTTGGTCTTGCACTAGCAATTTTGGAGAAGATTTGGGATAATTTTACTGATTTTTTCGGTTATGGTGGAATTTTCTCTAAGATATCTGAGCTCTACACTTTTGGTGGAATATCTGCCAGCCTTGAGGCATTGAAACCAATTATGATTGTAGTTTTGACTATGGTCCTTCTTGTTCGTTTCACTCTTTCAAGAAGGCCTAAAAACTTCAGGAAGTGGGTAGGTGACTGAGTGATCCACTAATTATGCACGAATCATTGAACCAATATTGTTCTGTGGATTTGTTTCATTAGTATGGTCTAATGGATGTTTCTTTGATACACAGGATCTTTGGCAGGGAATAGACTTCTCACGATCTAAAGCTGAAGCCCGTGTTGATGTGTGTTAAAACCTACATTTATTTTTAGTTTCTATTCTTAAAAAAGTTAATGTTATTTTTAGTTTTCTAGTCTTAATTTTCTTTACGGATTCTCTTATTCATATTTCTGGCTTTGGAAAAACGTTGCTTCAGGGTTCAACGGGAGTCAAGTTTGGTGATGTGGCTGGAATTGATGAGGCAGTTGAGGAACTTCAAGAGGTTATCTTTTTTTCACATGTTTGGTTGTATTTATGGGTGTGAAAATAAGTTTATTATTTGCTGATGCAGAAGCTGAAGCCATTTGCTGTGAGACACCAATAAAAGAAGAGTTATAACCAAAAATAAGCATATGAATTAACTTTTTGTGGAAAATTTAGTACATTTTTCTCCATGTCGGTCATAGACATCTTTTGTCACTTTTACAAATATTATGAGTTGAAGTATTTTTCCGTGAGCATGAAGTGAATTTTTTTTACTCCTTAAACTTTTTTGCGTGCAATTTGCATGCTTTTGTTAAACTTTTTAAAACATAATTCAATTTAGATTAACATATTCCAAAAATTGCTCTCTAGCTAATTTAACTCTTCTAGACGAATAAAATTTTTCACTTTAACATTCTGGATGGCTCCACAATATTAAGAGTTTCAACTTGTTTATGCCGCTGTGCCCAACTGCAAAACTGCCATAATGCATTAATGCATAAGCAACTGCATTAAGAAGACGAGAGAAATTATACCTGTATTTCAGATTAATTATTAGATAATTTTTCCTTTAACTATTTTGAATAATATAACTTATCCTTCTCAATAGTTATTTGCTTAACTATTAATATGCATCTCTCTTCTAATATATTCTAATTTTTATATTCTGCATTATATTCCTATGTCTTATTTTAATTATCTTTGTAGTCTATTATATTGAATGAAAACTTATGAAAGTTATTTATGATTTTGTTTAGTTGGTGAGATACCTAAAGAATCCTGAGTTGTTTGATAAAATGGGAATCAAACCCCCTCATGGTGTTCTTCTTGAGGGTCCTCCTGGATGTGGAAAGGTCAGATTCTTGTTCTCCAGTAATGCTTGATATAAGATTCTGTTTTGTCTGGCAGATGCTTAAGTTTTGTCGTGCTTTTGCAGACCTTGGTAGCCAAGGCTATAGCTGGTGAAGCTGGTGTTCCATTTTACCAAATGGCTGGATCAGAATTTGTGGAAGTTTTAGTTGGTGTTGGTTCTGCGCGTGTTAGGGATTTATTTAAAAGGGCCAAGGTAATCCTACTCCTTTTTCCTGATATTTAATTTTAAAATCACGTATTTACTGCTAATTTACTCAGGTTCTTGAGTCCTTCTTTCATGTTCCTCCTCATGACT